TCTTCTACTACTTCCTCGGTCTCTACTGGTTTACCATCTACCATAATGATCTTCTTAATTATTCGCTTTTTAATAATCCTGTGAACAGTGGTCACCTCAGGTTCTGTGAGTGTCTCAGTTATCACTGAATCAGCTGGTAGACCTTGCACCATTTCATTTGTTACATCTTTCTTGTCTAACATTTTCTTGCTGTCAGTTATAGCAATCTTTTCCATAACCACATCATTGATACTACTTTCAATATTTTTATTTCTTTAGGTTCATTAATTGTCACAGATGTTTCCTCATGGCCTTTTGCAATGCCTGTAAGTTCAGCTTCCACAGTAGACAATGGAATTGTTACCCTATCAGAATCTACCTCTTGTATGAGGAAAGGTTTTGGGGTGACAGCTTCTGTGTCTTCAAACACTGGTATGCTGGCTGGTGTTTGTATTAAAAATTCCTTTTCTTGTTTTGGTTCAAAAGTCTTTGTTTTATGTACCTCCTTATAAGTATCATCAAGATACATCTGTTCTACCTCACCTAGTTGAGGCACTTCTGTCTTCCTTGAAGATTCTTGTTTAACTGCAGATGGTGCTGGGAGTGCCACACTGGTAAGAGGTTCTTCAGGCTTTCTTAGTGGTACAGATTTTAGCATAGCCTGGTCCAGCTCTTGTGGCATTACACTGACCACATCTGCCTCATCTTCCTTAGTGTAAAGTTTTTCTGCCAATGGAGAGGTAAGAGAAAATTCTGATGGTGTATGCCTAGAGCTGTTATCAGGTTCTGGGAAATCATGACTGGATTCCACTACAGCCTTTTGCTCATGTTTTAAATGTTGCATTACATTTTCCTCTGTTTTACTAAATGCTTCTATGGGCTGTACATATGCTGATCCAGGTACAGGGAAGGGTACAATGTCTTCTATGGTTTCTTTATTTTTGCAATCAGGAATATTAACAGGATATAGTTGCAAATCTTCTTGTTCTACAATTGGACTTGGTTTTTCACTTGCTTGAGCTTGCGGGTAAACAATATCTGTAAATAACTTGGTGACTTCCACTTCTGAAGGCTCCTCTTCATTGTCGAAAGGCTTGGGGAATTCTCCAACCGGGAATGGGAAGGTCATTTTGATATCTGAATCATCAGGCCTTTTCATGGGAATTGGGTGCAAATCTACTGAGGGCCCTTCTTGAGGATGACTTATATCTTGAACCATTACCTTCTTCACAGCATAAAGAGTCTCTGTCCATTGTGAAACTGACAGTACATCTTGTGGCATATCCTGTGTGTAATCAATAACAGGCTGAGGAAAATCTACTTTCTTATCATCTGTTCTTTCTTCTAAATGCTCTGGTGCCTTCATACCTTGTTCTTGAGAATCTATAATCTCCGGTACTATCTTTTTACTTTCAACCTTTGCATGAAGAACACCAATCTCAGGAAATGGAGTTTCTGAAGACATGGGAACAGTTTCTTTGAAAATAGGTATATCTTTTGGAGAAGATATGTCCTCTTGTTCTTCAATAGGGCCAGATTTTTGTTCAACAGGTTTAGTAAACACACTTTCTGTATAAAGCTGACTGGTGTCATCTGATGGTCTAGGATGTTCATCTATACCTGATGCTTGTGGGAATTCACTAACTGGAGAAGAGAATGGTATATCTTGAGCAAACCATCCTGGTCTGCTCATTGGCAATGGTGACAACTCTATTTGGGTATGCTCCTCAGGAACAGGTTTATTCTCCACAATTTTATCACTCTTGTTGTAATATTTCTCATCCCACTGTGAATGTGGAGTAATGCCTTGAGGTAGGTTCTGAATGCTAACAATATCTGGAACTGGGAATGCCGGGCTCTCCTTTTCTACATCACATAGTATGTCTTCTTTGGATTTTGTTGGCCCTGGGAAAACCTGTTTCAAATTCCCACCTTCTCTTTTTTCTTCTGTATCATCTTGCATTGTTATACCTGGTTCTTGTACAACTGATTTTCCAATTACTGGGAATGGAACTGTCATTGGAGAGGTAACCACTTCTTCATAAACAGGAACATCTGGTAAAGTTTGCACATAGTCTTCATGTTTTATAATAACTTTGGAATCATCTGTCTTTATAGGACAAGAATATGATGATTCTTTTAATGTTTCTGAATGACTCTCTCTTACTTGTGGTTCTTCCAATATTTTAACTGGCCCTGGGAATTCCTCTACTAAAGATGAGATTGCAGTATCTCTAGTAAAATATTTTGGTTCTTCTGATGGGAATGGAGACAATTCAGCATCCATTTTGTCTTCTTCAATATTATCTTCATTTTCTTTCACTACTTTACTCTTGACATAAACTTCCTCTGACCCATGTGATACAGATGTTAAACCTTCTGGTGCATAATCAGTCTCAGATTTAGGAGGCACAGGGAATGTTTTGCTCTTAACCTTTTCCATATCATCTTTGAGGTATTCTTGGGCTAATTTATCCTCTTTTGTAAGAAATCCAAGGTCTGGAAATAGTGACTTCCCTCCCTCAACTGGTATGTCTGTAAATGATGGCAGGGCTTTAGAAGAAACCTTCTGTTGTGGAATTGATTCTGCTGGTTCCATTATTGAGGATTTTATGTATATATCACTTGGCCATGACTTAGACACATCTGAGACAGGTAACTCAGGTGTTCCTAAACATGCTTCTGGTTGAGGATGTGCTTCCTGAGGTAAAGGAAATTCTGCTGTAGTTTCAAGAGTGGGGGCCTCTATTCCAATAACAGGTAGAGGTGATGCACCTAATAATTCTTCAGAAATTACTGGGATAGCATCATCATTAACTGTATGCTGCTGGTAATTTTCTGCTCTCCAAGAAAGGGTTACAGTTTGTACTGATTCTAACTGATCAAGTTCATCTCTTTCTTTGGGTGCTAATTCAGGGAAGGAGGGTTCACTTCCACCATACTCTACAGGTCTTGTAAATGGCTGAGAAATCTCCATTTTAGTTTCAGCAAAGTCAGGAGTAGGTGCTGGTGGAGTAGGTGCATCAGGAATCATCTCTGTGATGTCACATACATGATCATCTCTTGGCAATGATGGATATTTGTCCACTGAGAATATGCTTACCTCAACTTTTGTGTCTTCTGCCACTTCTGAAGTTGATTTTGTTAGAACTGGAAAGTCTGTAAAAGGCTGTGGGAATGGCCTAATAGTGGTCTCAAAACATGGTGGTAACATTGGGAGATCTGGGGATTTGAGGTCCTCAGGCCCAGGTTTTATCAATTCATTAATTTTTTCTGGGGTTGTCTTTTCTAAAAATGGAGACCTAAAAACATCAGGGAGCGGAGAGGCCTGCTGTAACTGAGCAATACCATCATCTCCTTCTGGTGAAGGGAAAGGTATTATTGCAATTTCACTGAAATCTTTCTGGACAGGCACTGCCTTGGAAATGTGCAATGATCCTTCCAGTTCAACAGGCACAGGGAAGTCCTCTTGGGTGGTACCTTTATCAATTTTAATGCCTTCAATGTTGGTTGTCCTAAGTCTCTGTCTATCAGACAAGAAAATTTCTTGATCTATAACAAGATCCTGAACTTGAAACTCGTTATCTTGTGAGAAGGAAATTTCACGAGTAATATCTTTGAGGTCCTGAGTTTCGACATCCCAAGATGGGTGTGTAAGACTTTCAGATGGCTCTGGGAATGATTCAAATTCAGTAATGTTCTCAAATAAAGTTGGCTCTACTGGAAGAGCTGGAGCCTGTTCAGAAAACTGATATATTGGCTCTCTTTTGGTGGATACAACAGGTTTGGGGTAAACTTCTCTAACCCAAGCACCATCAGACATTCCTCTTAACACATCTTCTGGGAATGTATTTGTTGGTGCAGGAAATGAAACTATTTCTGTAATTTTTATATGTTCTTTAGGATATTCTAGCAATATAGGGAATTCTTGAGTAGTTTGTGGTATTGGCTCCCTTTCTGTTTTCTTTGTGTCAAATGAAACTGATGGCACAGGGAGAGAAGCTTCATGAACAGGCTGTGGTATCAGCTCTTTCTCCTTTGTTTCATCAGCTTTAATATAGAAGTCTTCACTCCAAACAGTTTTTGTTTTATCTGTTTCCATCAGCTCTGATTCTGTCTCATCTGTGTGTACTTTTGGAAATTGTTCAGAAGCACACCTTTCCCCTGAAGGTTGTTTGGCTTCTAATTCTTCTGGCAATGTTCTTTGTTGCTCACCTTCCACTGGTTTACTAAAATACACATTACTATCCAAACTAGACATCTTCAATTCTGACTGTTGTGGAATATCAGAAGTCTTGGGAGAGTGAATGGGAATAGATTTTTCATCAAACATTTCTGTAACAGTTACACCAGATCCATCTTCTGGCAAGGAAAACTCAGTTTCAGGTCCCTCAACAACTTCTTCTGTCTCAACTCTCTCCCCATTAATTATCTCCACTCGTTTAATGACATTTCTACACTTTCGAACAACGTGATACTGAATGGTTTTTACATCTGAGGATTCATCAGGTTCAGTGATTTCACCTTCAAGAATCTCTTCTGTTAATATTGGTTGGCCATCAGTAATTTTCAGTTGACGAATAACTCTTGCCTTCTGGTCTGGAATATATTGAGAAACACACTCCACACGTTCACTTAATGGTACTGCAATGGGCAAATTTACTCCACTATCCAAAGGATACACATGAACCTCTTCGGGAGATTCTGCTCTTTCCTCTTCAATCACCTCACGTCCATCCACTGTGTGTAAAGAGCGTCTTATTTTAATGTTTTTCTTGATTACACGAACACCTGATAAGGGTATACGTAACTCACCAGCAGTGGTCACCTCAGGTGCTGTGATTGTCTCAGTAATTACAGAGTCAGCTGGAAGACCTTGTACCATTTCCTCAGTAATTTTTTCTGGTTCTTCTACTATTTCCTCAGTCTCCATTGGTTTACCATCAACCATAATTGTCTTTTTAATTATTCTCCTTCTAATAATTGTGTGTGTAGTAGTCACCTCGGGTTCTGTGATTGTCTCAGTAATTACAAGAGTCAGCTGGCAAGCCTCGTACCATTTCCTCAGTAACCTCTTCTGGTTCTTCAACTACTTCCTCAGTCTCTACTGGTTTACCATCAACCATAATAATCTTTTTAATTACTCTTCTTTTGATAATTTTGTGAATAGTAGTTACCTCAGGTTCTGAGATTGTCTCAGTAATTAGAGTGTCAACTGGCAAGCCTTGTACCATTTCCTCAGTAACCCCTTCTGGTTCTTCTACTACTTCCTCAATTTCTACTCGTTTACCATCAGCAGTGGTTATCTCAGTTTCTGTGATTGTGTCAGTAATTACAAAGTCAGCTGGCAAAGCTTCAAGAATTTCCTCAGTAACTTCTTCTGGTTCTTCTACTACTTCCTCAGTCTCCACTGGTTTACCATCAACCATAATTATCTTTTTAATTATTCTCCTTCTAATAATTGTGTGTGCAGTAGTCACCTCAGGTTCTGTGATTATCTCCGTAATTACAGAGTCAGCTGGCAAGGCTTCTAGAATTTCCTCAGTAACTCCTTCTGGTTCTTCAACTACTTCCTCAGTCTCTACTGGTTTACCATCAACAATAATAATCTTTTTAATTATTCTTTTTCGAATAATTTTACGAATAGTGGTTACCTCAGGTTCAGTGATCGTCTCAGTAATTACAGAGTCAGCTGGTAAGCCTTGTAGCATTTCCTCAGTGATCTCTTCTGGTTCTTCTACTACTTCCTCAGTCTCTACTGGTTTACCATCAACAATAATAATCTTTTTAATTATTCTTTTTCGAATAATTTTACGAATAGTGGTTACCTCAGGTTCAGTGATCGTCTCAGTAATTACAGAGTCAGCTGGTAAGCCTTGTAGCATTTCCTCAGGAATCTCTTCTGGTTCTTCTACTACTTCCTCAGTTTCTACTGGTTTACCATCAACCATAATTATCTTCTTAATTATTCTCCTTCTAATTGTGTGTGTAGTAGTCACCTCAGGTTCTGTGAATGTCTCAGTAATTACAGAGTCAGCTGGCAAGCCTTGCAGAAATTCCTCAGTAACCTCTTCTTGTTCTTCTACTACTTCCTCAGTTTCTACTGGTTTATCAAAAAGAGTAATTACCTTAGGTTCTGTGACTGTCTCAGTAATTACTTCTACTTCTTCTGTCTCTACTGGTTTACCATCAGGAATGGTTACCTTAGGTTCAGTGATTGTCTCAGTAATTACAGAGTCAGCTGGTAAGCCTTCCAGCATTTCCTCAGGAATCTCTTCTGGTTCTTCTACTACTTCCTCAGTTTCTACTGGTTTACCATCAACCATAATTATTTTCTTAATTATTCTCCTTCTGATAACTGTGTGTGCAGTAGTTACCTCAGGTTCTGCAATTATCTCAGTAATTACAGAGTCAGCTGGCAGACATTCAGGCATTTCCTCAGTAACTCCTTCTGGTTCACCTACTACTTCCTCAACTTCTGGTTTACCATCAGCTGTGGTTACCTCAGGTTCTGTGACTGTCTCAGTAATTACTTCTACTTCCTCTGTCTCTACTTGTTTACCATCAGGAATGGTTACCTTAGGTTCAGTGATTGTCTCAGTAATTACAGAGTCAGCTGGTAACCCTTCCAGCATTTCCTCAGGAATCTCTTCTGGTTCTTCTACTACTTCTGCAGTTTCTATTGGTTTACCATCAACTATAATTATCTTCTTAATTATTCTCCTTCTAATAATTGTGTGTGTAGTAGTTATCTCAGGTTCTGTGATTGTCTCAGTAATTGCAGAGTCAGCTGGCAAGCCTTGCAGAAATTCCTTGGTAACCTCTTCTGGTTCTTCTAATTCTTCCTCAGTCTCTACTGGTTTACCATCTACCATAATTATCTTCTTAATTATTCTCCTTCTAATAATTGTGTGTGTAGTAGTCACCTCAGGTTCTGTGATTGTCTCAGTAATTACAGAGGCAGCTGGCAAGCCTTGTACCATTTCCTCAGTAACCTCTTCTGGTTCTTCGACTACTTCCTCAGTCTCTACTGGTTTACCATCAATCATAATAATCTTTTTAATTACTCTTCTTTTGATAATTTTGTGAATAGTGGTTACCTCAGGTTTTGTGAGTGTCTCAGTAATTAAAGAGTTAGTTGGCAAGCCTTGAAGCATTTCCTCAGTAACCTCTTCTGGTTCTTCTACTACTTCCTCAGTCTCTACTGGTTTACCATCAATCATAATAATCTTCTTAATTACTCTTCTTTTGATAATTTTGTGAATAGTGGTTACCTCAGGTTTTGTGAGTGTCTCAGTAATTAAAGAGTTAGTTGGCAAGCCTTGAAGCATTTCCTCAGTAATATCTTCTGGTTCTTCTACTACTTCCTCAGTCTCTACTGGTTTACCATCTACCATAATTATCTTCTTAATTATTCTCCTTCTAATAATTGTGTGTGTAGTAGTCACCTCAGGTTCTGTAATTGTCTCAGTAATTACAGAGTCAGCTGGTAAGCCTTGAAGCATTTCCTCAGTGATCTCTTCTGGTTCTTCTACTACTTCCTCAGTTTCTACTGGTTTATCATCAACCATAATTATCTTCTTAATTATTCTCCTTCTAATAATTGTGTGTGTAGTAGTCACCTCAGGTTCTGTAATTGTCTCATTAATTACAGAGTCAGTTGGCAAGCCTTGCAGAATTTCCTCAGTAACCTCTTCTGGTTCTTCTACTACTTCCTCAGTCTCTACTGGTTTACCATCAACAATAATAATCTTTTTAATTATTCTTTTTCGAATAATTTTACGAACAGTAGTCACCTTTGGTTCTGTGATTGTCTCAGTAATTACAGAGTCAGCTGGCAGATCTTGCAGCATTTCCTCAGTAACATCTTCTGGTTCCTCTACTATTTCCTCTGTTTCTACTGGTTCACCATCAATCATAATTGTCTTCCTTATTATTCTCCTTCTAATAATTTTGTGTGTAGTGGTAACCTCAGGTTTTGCGACTGTATCAGTAATGTCAGAGTCATCTGACTGACTCTGAAGTACTTCTGTAGTAATGTCTTCTGGCTCTTCTACTACCTCCTCAGTTTCAATAGGTTTGCCATCAACAAACTTTATTTTCTTTATTATTCTTTTTCTGAAGATTTTATGAGTTGATGTAGTATCTGGCTCAACCATTTCTTTGTCTATAACATAATCCATTGGTATACCTTCACTTTTATCGAGTTTTTCATCAGCTGGTGGATAACCATGCAAATTTTCATGTGTTATTTCACGAGGATCTTCAAAGTCTTCAACCTCGACAAGCTTACCGTTAATCATCATAACCTTTTTCACTATTTTTCTAATGTTTTGATGGGTAGTGAATGGTACTTCATGAATAAACTGAATAGGTTCTGTGACTTCTTCTGCTGAATCCAAAAACTTTTCTTCAGTTTCTATTACATTTCTTGTACTTTTCTTTCTGTGGTCTACTGAATCCCCTTCAACTAATTCCTCTGAAACATCTGGTTCTTCAACTACTTCTTTAACCTCCATGGGTTTACCATCAACCATAATGATTTTTGAAATGCTCTTCCTACGAATGGTTCGCACAACTGTTGTTGTCGCTTCTGAGTCATCCAGCCTGCTTGCATCATCACTTGGTTCTTCAATAACTTCCTCTGTTTCTACAGGCACACCATCAATTATCATAACCTTTTTAATTATTCTTCTTCTCATAACCTTGGAGACAGTTGTAATCTCTGGTTCTACAGTAGTTTCTGTAGTAGTAGTAGTAGTAGTTAATTTTCTTTCCTGGATTTGGTCTGCACTGACACTAGGATACTGGTGAAGCTGAACTGATTCTACACTAGCAATTGTACTCTCGCGTTCCTTATTTGGCTCCTGGTTCTCAGTTTGCTCCCGCATCATTTCATTCACCAGGATCTCCTATAATGAATTTCAGTTCACGTTAACTGTAATGCTGATTTTCTGTAGATGTAGTATGAGAATATTTACTCATGCTTTCTGATGGATACTAAATGAAGATGATTGGCAGCAAAGGATGTTGAAGGATGAATGTAAATTGGACATTTGCAGAATATTATATACAAAACCAGGAAACCAGGAAAAGGAAATGAGAGCCCAGACAGAGGAAGGGAGATATAAAAGGAATGCATGTGATTTAAGAGGATACAAAAGGACAAGTGGGATGGTGTTGGCAGACGCGTACCTTCAGCTGGTGAAGACGATTCTGAAGTACTAGGCGTGTGTCTGAAATGGTTTGGCTCAAGAAAGTAAGATGATCTCTCATCTCTTGAGCCAAAGATTCAATATGAGAGTCACCTCGTACACGCTCGCACTTGCTACGTAGCTCAGCCAGTTGTTGTTCACGATGGCACAAATCACGCTGCATCGTCTATAAAAGAAAGTCTCATTTGAAGACAATAGACATTAGTAAAAAGTAGGCTACTGTATATCCTAAATCTGACACTTATGGCACACACTATATTAAAGTAAAGTATCACTATGCGCTCCCAAATATGCCTTTTCCCAATATCGTATTCTTTTTTTAAAAACCCAAAACATTTACTAAATAAATATACTGTACTCCTAAAGTAAAAATTTTCAGTCACACATACTTCAGGATTGAATCATTAGAATGTATTTAACCCTTAAACGGTCCGAGCGTATATATACGTCCACGTTTGTAGTGCCCCAAATTTTTTTGAGAGGAAAAAATTTTTTTTTTTAATAGGAAAAAAGAGCATTTGGTACCCAGGCGTCCCCAATTATTTTAATATGGCGCACAGCGAGTGCGCACACCCATTCTCTCATGTCTAGGTGACTCAGGCTTACCGTGGCAATGTTGAATGAATGATAAATAAAACGTATATATACGTTTGGGGCGCTACGCACGTGAACATATATATACGTTTGGACCGTTTAAGGGTTAATTACCTATTTGCAGTTACCTTCTTTATAAAAAAGAAAGCCCTAATTGTTCTTTTAATACTACAAAGATGTCTTTTATCTATGGTATCATGCTGTGGTTTTACAAAGTAAATGTAATGTAAATAACATCTCTTCCTATTATCAGCCAATAATGCTATTTTTTGTGCTTTTTAGCTTTTCTTATTAACTCACATCTTTTTTAATTCTAAAACCATAAATTCACTGATGTTATATTTTGGTGACGATCTATCCTTCATGATCACTCCTGGATCCCTTTCTCTGTCTGTTGCTCTCAGTTTTTTTTTTTTTTTTTTAACACATCGACCGTTTCCTACCAAAAAGAAAGAAAAACCCAAAAAGAAAGAAAAAAAACTTTCATCATCATTCAACACTTTCACCATCACTCATACATAATCACTGCCTTTGCAGAGGCACTCAGATATGACAGTTAAGACATCCCTCCAAACTGCCAATATCCTAAACTCCTCCTTTAAAGTGCAGATATTGTACTTCCCATTTCCAGGACTCGTCACCCTGTTCACACTCCAACAGCTCGTCAGGTCCCAAAAACCATTCTTCTCCACTCACTCCTATCTAACACGCTCATGCACGTTTGCTAGAAGTCCAAGCAGCATTTTATCGGTTTTTATTCTTCATGCGTTTGGCTGTTTTATTTATTTTTAACATATTTGTAGATACAGGAGAAAAGTTATGCTCATTGTGTTCTGTCTTTAGTATTGAACATACAGTATTTTATAAAAAAAAAATTTTTAATTCCATTGCTTGTAGCATTTGCTACCTCCTCTTGGATGCCATTCTGTAGTTTTAATACTATGTGAAGAAATAATGAGAAATCTTTATTTATTTTCTTGGATCCTTTAATGAACTTATAATGAAGCTTCATGATGCATAATGACACCATTAACATAAAGTTTAGTAACAACAGCCTTAAAGCATTAATTCAATAAAATAAATATATTTTGTTTTTTTGTAGGTAGTAGGTTGGTTGACAGCAACCGCCCAGGGAGGTACTACCGTCCTGCCAAGTGAGTGTAAAACGAAAGCCTGTAATTGTTTTACATGATGGTAGGATTGCTGGTGTCCTTTTTCCTGTCTCATAAACATGCAAGATTACAGGTACGTCTCGCTACCTCTACTTACACTTAGGTCACACTACAGATACGTGTACAAGCATATATATACACACCCCTCTGGGTTTTCTGCTATTTTCTTTCTAGTTCTTGTTCTTGTTTATTTCCTCTTATCTCCATGGGGAAGTGGAACAGAATTCTTCCTCCGTAAGCCATGCATGTTGTAAGAGGCGACTAAAATGCCGGGACAAAGGGGCTAGTAACCCCTTCTCCTGTATATATTACTAAATGTAAAAGGAGAAACTTTCGTTTCTCCTTTTGGGCCACCCCGCCTCGGTGAGATATGGCCGGTGTGTTGAAAAAAAGAAAGATTTTGTTTTTCATTTATCATTTTAATGCACAAATATTTTATGGTAGTTTTTACTAAAGTTCAGTTGTTGGTATTGTCTTACTGTGCTTCAGTTACTTTATGTAGCTATTGTGTCTCCTCTATTCCCATCATCAGTCATTTTCAGTGTTTTTTAGCCTCGTTGCCTCGCTATACTTTTACAGTTCTATACCTTTTACAGTTCTGAAAGCAACTTTACAAATCACTGTTGACTTTTTATCAATCTTATCCACATGATATTTTAGATGTGCATATTACCATCAATGTACATTATAATTTTGACCTATTTTACACTGTAAACATTGAATGATGGTGAAAGCATTTCTTTCTTTTTTGGGTCACCCTGCCTTGGTGAGAGATCGCTAATGTGTTGAAAAACAAAAAATTTCCCTTCTCCTTATCCTGATTTGAAGACATATGTTCATCACAGCCTCCTACCTGATTTAGAGTTATCTGTTCACGGATGGCTGCTGCAGACCCAAGTGAAACTTCTGAAGTGATTTGGGCAAATGTTTCTGTTACCCAGCACTCCAAATCTTGTAGTAGTTGCTGGTATTCAATCAAGTGGAACTTTTGTTGTTCAGTTTCGCTATGTTTTCCCTATTAATGTAAGAAGAAATCATTGCTTAGTAAATTAAACAAAATTCAATAATGCACACAATGAATAAATCTGAAGAAAATTTATATGTAAACATATAGAATATACATTAGGAATGTAATTTTTCAAAATATCACACTTGAGCATTAGATAGGACAAACTTTTGGAAAAAAAAACATCAAAATGTACAAAATTTTTACAAAAAATTAGGTACACCTTATTTCATACATCTTGAAAAGCATCTGGTTATCCAGAGTATTTCAGGCAGATTGAAACAAACGTAAAACTGTGTAGCTACTTCATATCATACAGGCAAAGTGAGATTGCCTGAATGCCTAGCAAAATTGAACTAATAATAGATCATGAACTCTTCGAGGGCATCTTGATATTACTTTAATGAAATGGATCTACCCAACCTTTCCTTGGATAGAATCTGGCAGGCCTTTGATACCGATGAACTAAGAAAGCATTGAAAATAAAAATGAAAATGTTTATTTCCTTGCAAAGCTTACAATGTGTGGGTTTACATATCATAAAATATTAATTACAAAGAAGGCCACTAGCATGCCTAGGCATTTCAGGCAGACTAATCCTAATTTTTCTTGAGGCCACTGAGCAAATTTAGGGATTAGACATTGCTTATAATATAATAATATCTTTGTTTCTACAAGTACATCTACAAGGTATACACGCCCAGCTGACATCAATGACATACTCTATATAGAAAGCTGCTTGTTATGCAGAGCATCTTGGGCAAATTAGGTTAGTTTTGTCCCAGGATGTGACACACATCATTCAACTAACACCCAGGTACCCATTTTATACTGATGGGTGAACAGGGACAGTGGGTGTCTTACGGAAACACGTCCTAATGTTTTCCAGCCGTACCAGAGATTCGAGCTGAATCCAATTTTCTATGAACATTTGCTTACAAGTAAAGTCTGTGAAAATGTGGATTCCCAAAATGAAGGGAAACTAGATGCAATGTTCAAAAGAAACTCTTGAGCTGATCTGGACTGTGAAAAATTGAAGCAGCAGTCTGTAACCGTGGATGAAACATGCATTCATCATTATGACCCTGAGTCCAAGCACCAGTTGAAACAATGGAAACACTACTATTCTCTGACACCAAAGAAATTCAGGGTTCAATCCAGCACTGGCAAGATCACATGCACAATTTTCTATGATAAAGAGAAAGTTATCCAAATCACTACAGTGGAACCCCAAATATCAGCTGCTGCGTTTATCAGTCGAATTGTACTTAGGCCGGTTCTTGGGCAGAAATTTTGCTCCATATTTTGGCCGGTGCCTCACAAATCGGTCGTATTATACACGTCAGCCCGCTTCCCGCCGGGATGCCGCGAGCAGGTGAGTCAGTCTCCCTGTGTCTCTTGGTGAATGAGCACATATTCTGCGCATTCATCCAAACATTTCCTTAAAATCCGTTGGTTTTTGTGCTTGTTTATTAAGTGTGACTGAAATATGCCACCATGGGCCCAAAGAAAGTTCCTAGTAAAGTTCCTTTGGTAAAGAAAGTGAGAGACATGATGGAATTTAAGAAAGAAGTTATCGAAAAATATGAGAGTGGTGTGCAGGTGCTGGAACTTGCCAGGATGTATGGGAAATCCAAATCAACAATCACTTCCATCCTGGCAAAGAAAGAACAAATCACAGACGCTGATGTGGCAAAAGGGGTAAACATGTTAACGAAAAAGAGATCACAAGCAATGGAATATGTAGAGAAATTGTTGTTGTTGTGGGAGATAGTGTTCCAGAGAAGAGCGTTTGTTAAAAGGCAAGGTAGTTGCATGCGGATCTCGTAAAGAAAATGCCTGGAACTAGTGCTGATGTTAGTAAATTTAAGGCCAGCAGAAGCTGGTTTGACAGATTTAAGATGTGTAGTGGCATATACAGTGTTGTAAGTCATGGTGAAGCTGCAAGTTCAGACAAACATGCAGCTGAAAAATTTGTGCAGGAATTCAAGGGGTATGTAGATACTGAAGATTTCCACCTAAAACAAGTGTTCAATTGTGAAGAAACAGGCCTCTTTTGGAAGAAAATGCCAAAATGCATCTACATCACACAGGAGGAACAGGCACTGCCAGGACACAAACCTATGAAGGATAGGCTAACTCTTTTGTTCTGTGCTAACACTAGTGGGGATTTCAAAGTGAAGCCTTTACTGGTGTATCACTCTGAAAATCCCAGAGTGTTCAAGAAAAACAATGTCGTCAAGAGTAGATTGTGTGATGTGGAGGGCTAATAATAAGGCATGGGTCACAAGGCAAATTTTCATTGACTGAGTCCATGAAATGTTTGGCCCGAGTGTGACAAAATACCCCCAGGAAAATAAATTGCCACTCAAGTGCCTCCTGGTAATGGGCAATGCGCCTGCTCATCCTCCAAACTTGGTAGACCAATTGTCTAAAGATTTCAGTCTTATAACAATGAAGTTCTTGCCTCCTAACACCACTCCTCTCATCCAGCCCATGGACCAGCATGACATTTCTAACTTCAAAAAACTCTACACAAGAGCAGTGTTGAAGTGACCTCGGACACTGAACTGACCCTAAGAGAGTTCTGGAGGAATCACTTCAGTATCTACAACTGCATAAGCCTTATAGGTAAGCCTTGGCAGGGAGTGACTTCCAGGACTTTCAACTCTTCTTGGAGAAAATTGTGGCCAGAATGTGTCCTCGAGAAAGATTTTGAAGGGTTTGAGGCTGACCCTGACGACCCTACGCCTGTTGTGCAATCTACTGTGTCTTTGGGGAAGTCCCTGGGGTTGGATGTGGGTGGCGAGGATGTGGAAGAGTTGGTGGAGGACCACAGAGAAGAGCTAACCACTGAAGAGCTGCAACACCTTCAACTGGAACAGCAACAGACCACAGCTGAGACACTTGCTTCAGAGGAGGAGGAAGAGAGAGGGAAGGAGATGCCTTCTTCAGAGATTAAGGAGATTTGTGCAATGTGGAGTAGGGTGCAAGCTTTTGCTGAGAAATATCACCATGACCAATCTGAAACAAGCCATATCTGCAAACATGTTCAATGACAAAACCTTGGCCCATTTCAGACAAATCTTAGAGGTGCCAAAAACAGACCTCTGTGGACAGTTTTTTTTTTGTGTGACAGGGGTCCAGTGACTCTCAAGCTGGTCCTAGTGCCATTAAAAGACAAAGAAGGGAAGTAACCCCAGAGAGGGACTTGATACCTGACGTCATTATGGACGGGGATTCCCCTTCCAAAAAATAACCTCTCCTCCCTCTCCTCTCCTCCCTGTCTTCCATACAGCAACAAGTCTTCAATACAAATATGTAATAATGATATAAATGTTCATTTACATGTAACTGTCATTGTTTTGTGTATGTAAAACTATACAGGTCGGCCATCACTAATCCGGCAATCAGTTATCCAGTTTCATCAGTAATCCAGCAATAATTTCGGCAAGCATAATTTCAAATTTCATAACCACTCTATAATCCGGCAAACTCACTAATCCAGCACACTACAAATCACAGTGATGCCGGATTAGTGATGGCCAAACTGTAGTTAAACTTTACAAAATGTATTTTTTTATTATTATTTTTGGGTGTCTGGAACGGATTAATTGCATTTACATTAATTCTTATGGGAAATATTGCATCAAATTTAGGCCTTTTCGAATTTAGGCTGACCTGGAACAGATTATGGCTGATACGGGTTCCACTGTATATGCCTCACAAGGTCCACATTACAGGTGAATATTATGTCAATTTGTTTTAGAGTTTGCAAGAGCCAATCTGTCAAAAAAAAAAAAAAACCCTATTCCCCAGACCTGGCTCCATGTGGCTTCAACCTGTTTCCCAAATTGATGTTCCACCTTTAAGGAATGAATTATGGAAATGATGAGCTCAATTCAACTACAAAACAGTGGTTAAATATGCATGACAAAACTTTTTTTTCTTTTCTGAGTGGCATGAAAAAGCAATGAATGTTATAACAAGTGTATGTATAACTGTTCATGGTAACTATGTTGAAAAATAAAGTCAGTTCTGCTTTACTCTCGTTACTGTTAACCCTTAAATGGTCCAAACATATATATACGTTTTTTCAACATCGAAAGTATGTAAAAAAATGTAGATCTTCTTTTTTGTTTTACATTTGAAAACGTGTAAAAAACTTTTATCTACATTTTTTGTTGTTGTTATATTTGAAAATATGTAAAAAGAAGTAGATCTACTTTTGTAGCACTACGAATTTGAACGTCAATCTCTTTGGACCGTTTAAGGGTTAATGCTGTAGTCTCAGAACTTTCTGATCTTCCCTTGTATATATCAGTGATATAAAGTTACTGTATACCAAGGAACCCCATTAGCTCCACCATTCTGGTGACCACTGGAGCTTACACAACTACAATACTTACCTCAATTTCCTTTTTCTTGGCTTCTGCTTGGGAGCACATGGATTTTAGTCGCATTCTCAGACCAGAGACAGCAGCTTGCATATTCAGCATCTCTGAGTCTTGCTCCATTGTTTTTCCTTTATCTTCTAGACGATTCAATTCATCCTCAATTTGGTGCATCTCGATTATAAGTGTCTGTGATTCAAAGTTAGAATTAATCTAAGATCTTAGCTATCTAGTTGAAATCTTTATTCAGCTCCTATATCTCAGGAATGAAAAAAGGTACATAATGTTATTTAAATAGCAATATCAAAATTCAGCATTCCGTAACTGTACAGGAGACCAAACAAGAGAAAATTCTATATTGTCTCAAAAAAATATATAGACACTTTGACATAGATATTCATGACATGCTCCAAATTAGCATGGCTTGCATTTATAATGAACAATACAGTGTACATAAGGACACCAGTTATACACTCTGGAACTTATGCATGACATTTTGAGTTTTTTCTGTATGCCTAACCCAGTAAAACCATTTCTGCATGTTTGTTCCTCTGTTGTTTTGCCACTTCCAACAAGTGCATAGATAGCAATGATGAACGGTGAGCAATTTAATAGTGAACAGTGTAACAAACACTTTTGTTTTACTGAATTATAAGGTGTGGAGGAAATGAAAATCAATATATATTTGGGAGTGAATGTGTCAGCATAAGATAAGAGATAAGATTTCGTTCGGATTTTTAACCCCGGAGGGTTAGCCACCCAGGATAACCCAAGAAAGTCAGTGCGTCATCGAGGACTGTCTAACTTATTTCCATTGGGGTCCTTAATCTTGTCCCCCAGGATGCGACCCACACCAGTCGACTAACACCCAGGTACCTATTTGCTGCTAGGTGAACAGGACAATAGGTGTAAGGAAACGTGTCGGAATTTCCACCGCCGGGAATCGAACCCGGGCCCTCCGTGTGTGAAGCGGGAGTTTTAGCCACCAGGCCACCGGTGTATGAAAGAACAAATGGTACAGTACTATGGTTTCCATATGCTTAACTGAAAGCAATTATCTTTAACTATTTGAGAGACTAGTATCCAAAAGTTGTGAAGGCCATAAACCTCAGAAAACTGGCACTAGGAAAAATAATAATAAGACTATGTAGCACATTATTTGATGTTTGAGAATGTGTGTAGTAAATCTGATGGTGATCTGCATATTACTGTTTACACAAAAATTTTGCTAATAAACACACACAAAAAAAGGTTTAAAACTTAGTCAGAGGCACACATCCTTAATTACAATAAGAAGATTCAGTTTGTAATTAAAGTTTGAAGTTAAATATCAAAAAGTCTTTTCATGATACATTACTGTACAGAAACTAATTTGTAGAAAAAAATAGGACACAAAACTTAAGTAATCCCATCCAGGAAAACCTAATCAATAGAATAATAATTAACCCTTTTTTGACTGTCGTAACCCCAAATCCTGGGGTGTCTCCTGGTGTCGCAAAATATTTGAAAAAAAAAAAAATTCCCAATGGTAATAATACCAATAGTATGAAATTTGATGGAAAACTTACGGAATTACGCTCTCGCGGAGTTAGCGACCTCTGCGACATTTACACATTGGCGTTTTCGCCCACTTTGAGCCCTATTTTCGGTCAATTCCATTGTTCCAGTCCACCAAATTCATTTGTTCTATCAACGGAGTACATGAAACAGCCCATTTACCAATTTCAACTACCCAACAAAGCGTCAGAAATTGGCAATTTGGCCAATTTCATGCAAATTAAAAAATGTCAATTTCAAAATAGGGTCCAGAATGAACACTGCAGACATTCCTGGTGCTAAAATAACATTTTTTCTGTTCATCAGTCATGTCTCCAGGCCCCTGTCATAATCCTCTCGCTTTCTATTTTGAATTTTTATTCACACAAAAAATAGAAGATTTACTGTTATGCAGACTACTGCAATATTGTAATAATTGTATAAATAACGTCAATCCATTCATGACTGCATATTTGAATGGCTTGTTGGACATTTATTGGACAATGACATTATTTGTTTACTCTTGAACATCAGCAAAAATTGAACATTTCTCCCACTTTGAACTCCATTTGAAGATCCTTTTCATAGAAAAACCAATCAAAATCACTTCCATTTCTATAATATGTTTCCATTCTATCAAACGAGACCAAAAAAGCAAGAATACAGCCATAAATACTATAGGAAAATACACCTCAAAGTTGGCATTTTAATCCAAAAACACGTTCAGAGTTTTTTTCTCATTATGCACTGAGTGCTGCAGGATTTTTTTATACTGCACACACTGACCACACAGACCCATTCTCTCACATGTGGGCCTACCAGCTTTCTCCTGCTTGATTTGAAGCCACTAGAATTTTTGAGTATATATACGTCAAACACATTGGCTCGTAAGACGTATATATACGACCAAAACAGTCAAGGGTTAACCTGATTGTGCCTCTGTGCATGTCATTTTGTTAATTAATGAAATGCATGAAAGAATTCACACATTAATATACAAGAATGCTTTTTGCTTGACAGCGCAGCCAATAACTGTGTTCCATTGACTATAACCTTTTATGAAGCTTTCAGGACAATAATAAGACATGCTCAGGAAAAAATCAAAGAAAAGACAATTCATCTTACCTGTATGGTAGTTAACTGTTCAACAATAGTATAATCCACAAGAGCTTTGATTCTTTCTTGGAAGCTCTCAAGTTTTTGTTGCACTCTGGAAACTTTCTTCTTGGATTCCTCCTGCTCCAGAGAGGACAGGAAAAGACAGATTAGCCTACTGTATAGTAAATAAAGGCATAACACTCACAAGTAGTAAGTAGACACGTAATACAGTGAAGTCTTTACTGGTGCAGTTTCACCCACGAGAGGGCTACATTAAATGTACAGAACAATGAGGAAAAATTAGAGCTTATATAAGGCACCCAGGGTGAGTGATCATGTAAAACTATGCTATGAAGTAGCAATGCAAGAGGCCTACTGGTCTCTGCTAGTTTTCTTTGTTTCAAGATAAGGGAGTCACCACAGTGAACACACCACAATTTTTTTATAGTGTTATTTACTTTGGTTATAGAGGACTCCAAACATCTACATTCAACAGCAAAAGCTAACAAGTGGAAATAAAAAATGATAGTAGAGAACTCTTTTAATACAATGCTTCACCCAAGGTTGGAGGTTTTAACAGATAAAGCCCAGCCTTAGATGAAACATGTTAAAAGGATTCTTTACTACCAGTGTGTATTTTCACCTTTACTTAATCTTGTCATTTTCTTGAAACAGTAGCCTGACTGTATCCCACATAATGATGTGGGAGTGGATGTTGCACTGTTGCACACATTGGTTGATGGTATTATTCATTGCACAGGCATATTGTGTTCTAGGTGTATGGAAAAACTGGCAGTTTTACAGATGTAAACTCAATTACATCCATGACAAAACGCTGCAGACTCTTGAGCCCTTGGGTCCTGTGTAGAGTAGGGAGGTACTCATGATGTCTCAAATGGTTTTTGTGATAACCATATCAATCTTAATGTTGGATTTATGTAGTATAGGAGCCACTGTATTTGCTGTGGTGCTTGGAGGTAACATATATTTTCATTCAATGTTCTAGTTTCTGGTGTTGTTGTATATTATGTCTGGTTTACATCTGCAGTAAGAGATCAAATGGCAAGGGAATTTGAGGTTGGAGACTATGTTTTCTATGTGGCTGTGTTCATATTTAAGCAAGCTGTCACTGCAGATCCAAAGTGTCTGCAGTTAAAAAGCAATTAACACTCCTTTCTTGGTTTACACATCAACATCAGAAACCAGAACACTGAATGAAACATATTTTGCCTACCAGCATCACAGCCAGTACAGTGGCTTTTATACTATACAAATCTAACATCAAGATTGCTGTGGTTACCACAAAAAGCATCCAAGACATCACAAGTACCCCCATATCCTACACAGGACCCCAAGGACTCAGAAGTCTACAGCATCCTGTTGTATTTGTGATCAAGTTTACACCTGTGAAACTGCCAGAAGCCTTCTCGTACACTTACAAGAACACAATATGGCTGTAGAATGGACAATACTATCAACAAATGTGCACAATGCTGCAACACCCACCCTGACAAAATAATGTGGAACAGTCTCGTTACTTTTTTCAGAAAATTACAGGATGGAATGTAGGTGTTTTAAGTCATCTTTAGTCAAACTAATTAACCCTTCTAACAAACTTGCAGTATACTATTCACTTTGGCAGCTCTCATAGCAAACCTTATCTTGGAACAAAGGAGATAAAGTGTAGGCTAAAAGGGGTTCTTGAAGTGCTACTTAGCATACTTACACCTGATCACCTATTCTGGATGCCCTAGATTAGCAGTAATTTTTCTCATTCTTCTACATATTTGGATGAATCATTGCACAATCAAGACTTTACTGCATTAAGTATCTATTTGCCACCAAAAGTTAGCCTGAAATTTTGGCAAGGGAAGGAATTTACTAAGAGGGCTCTAAAGCACCTGGTATTGGGTATTAAAAAGAGTTCCCTTAAGGAACGGGACATTTTAAAGTTATTTTAAACTTTCAACTTGGGAAAATACATTATAAATAACTTTAAAGAACAAAGGTGAATACAGGCACAATAACAATCAAACACAATTTTTCAAGCCATTACAAAAAATTCCAGTCAAGATTAAATCATGCTTCACACAAGTACTGGTGACACGGCCAACTATTTACAAAGCTGTGAGGTAAAGAATTACCTCTTAATCAATGTAATTTTCAAACTGAACTAATGTCTCAATCTATTTCATCACCTATAAAGAAAAATACCCTCTTTATCTTTATCTTAATACAGTCAATAGTTTTCCTCTTGAGACAATAGCCTTCATAGACTTGTTTGTAGATTTAAACTGTGTAGCTACACTTAAGAAAAAAAAACAGGAAAAAATATTTAAAATACTGTAAAGTGAGGCATTTTTTTTTTTTTTTTGGGGGGGGGGGGGTTAGTATCTGCATAATCTTGAAGTTCCAATTCCAAGAATTACTTAATCAGCTGATCCTAAAGCAATCTTGTCTAATGTAATCTAATCAAGAAGTGGTGTTGAGGCTTTCATATGTTTATACAGCCTCTCCTCACTTAGTGATGTACTCGTTTACCGACATCTCAGACTTACAATGGGCTCTCTGACCAGTATGCATGCCTAAATAATGTATATCAGAGATGATTTCCTCTTTTCTGTTTATTACAATATACAGTATACTTACTACTTTATAAACACTTAACAATATACCAGAAATGTTATAAATGGTGCAAAGGTGACATTAAAACAATATCAGAGATAGTTGGCACAAACCCACTACCATTACAGTATGCTCCTCACTTAGCGTCGAATTTGTTTATCAACGTGGTCTTAGGAACGGAACTCTGTTGTTAAGTGAGGAGAGGCTGTATAATACTTCACAGTGTTACAATTACAACATGGTAGATTCTCAGTGAGCGCGAGCATGTGTGCGCATACATGCACATGTGCATGCACACAAACACATACACATATGTATACATACACACAACTGACTGTCAATTAAGATGGTAGTTACGTTCTTGGCAATGGGGTCTAAGACAAAAGAAATTGTCTAAGACAAACTGAAGAACATATGGGAAAAAGAGGGTGATGTTCCCGGGACCCTCAAAAAATGGCACTTTTATTAAGGTCTCCAAATTGTAAAAAAATTAAAATGATAATGTAACTGTAGTTGGTTGTCATGAGTATTTTTTTTGCATTTTTAAAAACTACAAAATTTTTCAGAAATATTTTTTACCTTAAAATTTTGGTTCTGGT